TCAAAAATCTAATGGTCCGGGCCGTCCGGCCCACATAACGGCTAAAATTTGCGGCAGCGGCGCCGCTGGCATGTATAAATTTGAGACGCGCATAAAATTGCGGATTTCCTGTGTCTCGCGACATTTCTCGTGCGCGCTAATTTGTCTCATGCAGTGCGCGCTTGAAAAATAGTGCAATTTTTTAATTTCATGCGCGCACGCGCTTGAAAAATTGCGCATTTTCAATTTCACCTGCGCCTCATTTTGAAATTGCGCGTTTGACAACAGATTTTTGAAAATTGCAACCGAGATCTGATCTCGGTTGCGCAGTACAAACTTTCCAGTCTGGTTCATAACAAGGTATGTATTGAACCATATACATATCATATTTCAGCCATGTATGGGATTCGTATAACTCGTAGTCTGGTATATATTAGTTTACTTCGATAACGTGCTGTTACAGATAAGGTTAGGGCTTGACCATAAATCACTAACCTGGCGATTGTTGTAAACGAATAAATTTCGCAAAGACAAGTTTTTCCGCGCTTCTATAATTTTCACCAAAGCTGCAGGGTAGAAATAACTGTGCCTAAATAAAGCTGTCCAAAGTCAAAGATGAATGGGATTGGTGTCTTAACCATCTGCATATTCCTGTACAGTGTATCGGAAATTTCTTTGGCAAATGTGTTAGGTAAGCCTAATGTTTTACACATTTTGAATATCAGAGGCCAAAGTGGCTTCATGAACACCGGTATAATCTAATATTATAAACTAGAGTTCATTATTCCATTTACTGACTAAGAGAGTTGTCCAATACTATCTAATCTATCGCATTCGAGTACGTGGCTCGATTTGAGACGATTGGAAACCAATGGTTTGATTATAATTGATTCGTCGGATCGGTTCATTGGAAAGATCCGTGATTCAGCTTTAGTATTTGGTAAGTCTGAGGTTTAGCGGGCTTAAAGGATTGGTCCAATACTCCAATGGCAATGGTTTGATTCGTCAGGTCCATCCATTGCCCATTGGGCACGAATGGATTGATTCGTGAATCAGCGTAGTGATTGGTAATCCTAGGCTTAAAAGATTCGTATACGCAATTGATTATTTGATTTTAATATTTCCAGAACGAACCATCGCGTTTTAATATTGAGCGTTGCTTACTAAAACAGCATCGCTTACTGAGAACCATACACAGTTCATTTGAGACACTGCGTAGTTTATTTGGCTTGGTACGAATGTAACAACTCCAGTCGAAGGACGGACCCGAAACCATGCGAAGCATCAAGTTACGAATATCTCCATAAGTTGTCCTCCAGACGTCATGCCTGAGCGCAATGGGTCAACTGGCGTTTCTTCCTTTTCCGCATGCGGGTCACTGGAAAATACGTGTTAGGTTCGTAGACTTGGCTGGACGGTTAGTTAAAGTAAAACAGTATACTAAGAAATGTCCTTATGTAATTAGTTCAAATTCCAAAATTCGTTTAAATTGGTAATATATGTAATATTGATTGCCCCTCCCCCCGGCCCATATGCCTATGCATTTTCACTCCTCAATGAGTTATTTTCACGCCGATTTGGGGGTTACAGACTCCTTTATTTTTTTTGAGGAGTCATATAATTATAATTAATGATTTATTCCAGGAAGCCAGATGTCCTCAAAACAAGATCCCTTTGCAGATTTAGAGTACTTTAACAAAACGGATGCAAAGGATATCACATGGGCTCACGCTGTAAATAGTAAAGCTAAACTTAATGAATTCTTAGAGACGGATATTTTAATGTTTGAAGGCGATGTACTTATGAGATACAACAGGAATGATACAGATCCTATTATGGCACATCCACCTGCAAATGACAGCGACTTAACTTTGCAGATATTTCTCAAGTCTCTCAAGCCAACAAGAAAAGGAATTAAACTGGATTTTAAGACTATAATGGCCGTAGCTCCAGCAATGCTGTTATTAAAGTCAGTTTACGATACAACAGACAAACCATTGTGGTTAAACGCAGACATCTTAAAAGGGCCTGGATCTAACTCAGGATCGAATCCCCCAGTGGATGCTAATGATTTCATCACAACATGTACAAATACGTATCCAGATGCAACTTTATCTCTCGGCTGGACTACTGGATGGTATGAAGGTATTTCAAATGCAGGTTATACTCAAGATATGGTCGATGAAATGGAAAGGATCTGTCGAAATACAACACAAATAATCACATTTCCTATACGTGCGATATATGTGCGACAATCCTGGGTACCGCTCAAATGGCTACTAGATACCAGTTCCCGCTACACACTCACAATTTGGTCTGCTGTTGATGACAATGTTAAAGTCGAGGACTTAGTCTGGTTAACAAAACAGATTGATAAACGACGTCTTTATTTGGATCTGCCACCAGAATTGGATGATGCTTTTCGTAAAGCATTGGCAAGCAAAGGAGTAGTTGTCAGCAGTTTAGGTTCTACAGCAAGTTTAATGTTCGCCTCCTTAGTTTCACTTATTGTCAAATACCAGTTTTAAATATTACAGTATATGTTGGGAAAATGTGTAGCAAGTCTGATTTGCAATTTGATTAAGGGTTCAAAATTGAAAACACTACAAAATGACCATAACGGATTTCATTGATGGTTGATATATTATTGGGATAATAAATATTATATTAAATATCACATGGTTAAATAATTATAAAACTTATCTACATATTAAATAAGCTGATCTACGAAACTGTATAGTTCAATTTAATATGCAGCTCCAGCGAGGGGAGAGCGATGGTTCAAAATACTTGTGGTGTGTTTGGATATTGGTATATGGGATGAATAGTGATTTACCTCTTAAAAGGGTAGGCAGCCCCGCAATATTTGGGAAATAAGCATGCCATAGATTGTGCGTATCGTTATCACTACAATCCATCGCTAAAATTCCTCTGTTTTGACCAGCAAATCGTGCGGATTCTGCAAATACCGTTTTACAAACTTAATGATTTCTTTAGCGTTGATACTTCCTAACAATTTAGGGATATTTTTAGCACTATCCATACTCTCTACACTGGGTAAAAATGCAGCTTCATGATGATCGGTCATTCTGACGATACAGAGTCGTGGGTAATGATATAATGGAGGTATATATTCCAAGTCTGATGAGCCTAAAAAGAGAGATATATACCATATTTTAGTTGCATTTCCTTCAGGTTCTTCCTAGTTTAGAGCTACCTTTCTCTCCATTAAAGTACCCTGACTCTCACATTCAGCACAATCCTTCTGGATACTGAAAGCTTCCCAATTAGCCTCTCGTACTTGTCTAATGTAGCCTCTCTGGTATCACTACATGCTGTCATGATCTATATTTCGAGCTTATTTCTTTGCTCCTTTACCATAAACTGAAGTTGCCGACATTACTTACTGAGTCTTCATACCCTAGTGCCAGTCTCTCTCTTTGCCGTTGATAATTGCTATATGGGTTATACCTAAGCATATACATACATACATACATACATACAAAACTTTATTTAACAGTGCCTTTTTTAACTATATATCTGGGGGGGGGGGCAATTGCCCCCCAGGGAAAGAATTTCCCCCCCCCCCCAGTAAAGCCATTTCTGCCCCCGAAGTGCGAAGCAGAATTGCTCATGATTGCTGTCAGAATTGCAGTTGATTTACTAATTGATGAGATTAGGCCCTTCCATAGCCTCCTCCACAGCCATCTTGTGTGTAATTCATATTGTTCTTCACCGGGTATTTCATAATAGCAATAAATTTCATGCAAACAATCCGATAAAATGCTAGCCTTTCCAAGTCTTGCGAATATTTCCTAGCACTCTCCTCCGCAGAGGCGTTGTGTTTTGTTTTGGGAGGTTTTATTGCAAATTTTTTTCTTCTTAAAAATACCAAGTTATTTTAGAGCCCCCCCCCCCAATCGCCACAAAAACCATTCTCTCAGAGAGGCTAAATCCGTAGAGAAATTGGGGGG